GAGAAGAGAGAGAAAGTGATGAGAAAAGCTTGAGAGTGAAAGAGAATAGTCTTAGTGATGTTATTATCTTTGATTAAAATGATCTCTGATGCTGGAGCAACTAAGAACTATTATTAGTATACAAAATTATAAAAGCAGAGATAAAAATTACTGAACAAACATCTACTGATCTTAGAATTGTATATATAATTACAACACACATGAGGCTTCTCAGAAAGAGAGAGAGGAATATGAGAGAATACAGAAAGCAGAACATAGCATGTGAACAGCTTATTCTCACAACAATATCTCAGACAAGGTGTATGAATCTCATATTCACAGGTGTAAAAGAGTATGATATTCATATTTCTGTTTCTGAAAACACAGATATTCTTCACCTGCATCACAAAGTCAGATAATAAATGTCAGAGAATAGACTGATACAGGTCAATTATTCTGAAGAAATTCATTAGAGCAGATGTCTCTGTGATATTAAACTTTACAGTCATGAAAAGTTTCTTGATATCTGTGAATATTATAACTATACACAGTAAAACTTATAATAATTTTCTCTAAGAACAGAAAAATCAGTGTCAGAAAGAAAAGATGGAAAAGAAAAAGACTTATAATCTTGACACTGTTAAGAGAGAAAGTGATTCTCTGATATAAATGAATAATTGTCTCACTATGAATATTTAAAATGAATGTAATAATTAATGTCTGTGATCAAGCTTCAGATAGTCATGTTATACACAGTCTTTATACAATAAATTATTCTAGAAGTTGATAAGAAAGATAAGAGTGTATGCACTGATAAACATAATTCATTAAGTCTATACAACATCTTCTTGAAACAGGGAGAGCTGATAATGAAAGCAGAGATGATAAAACCAGAAGAAGCAGAAGTAGTGAGAGTGAGAGTCACAGAAACAGAGGTAGCAGAAGTGAGAGAATCAGATATAGAAGTAGCTGTAGAAGATTGAAGAGCAGCAGCAGAAGAGACAGAAGAGAATACAGAAGACTCAGTCACACATGACACAGACAATTTCTTCATTATTGCATTCTTCAAGTTCTTGATCAATGATTCAATATTGAGTTCACTATCATCAGTGAACACAGATCTGTCAATATGTGAAGATTCTATATAAATAAAAACAAACATCAGCATCTATGTTCATGTAAAATTATATCAGAAAACACAATCAGAAGCTGCTGAGAAGAAAAATAGTTAAGAGTGTATAAGAAGATGAAGAAGATATGTCATTCATAGTAATATATTCTGATAATTGTTAGAAGATAAACAATTTCAGTCATATTTCACAATATATTATACTTACTGTTAATAAACTGCCTGATATGAGCACTACAATGACACTTGTTATGAGAATGAGAGATCATCATCAGAAATGTGTATAATGTGATAGATAAATGAATAGAAGGTGTTGAACAGAAGAAGAGACAGTAATCATGAATAAGATGATAGCATTTAATAATGATAATAATGAAGAAGAATAATTGAAGAATGAGAAAAGTTAGTGAATAAGTAATGTAATATAGTGAAAGTTTCTTTATGAGAATGTATACAGAATGCTAGCTGAATCAGAAATAGATCACATAATCATGAAATGCTAGTGATGAGCTAATTCACATGAAGTTAGAGTGTATGACATGATCACATGAGCATGACTGAATCTGGTAAGAAAGAATGTGATTCAGAAGAACATACAACTGTTGAATAATAACACAGCGACTTTTGAACTTGATTATAAGTAGACTGGCCGCCGGGACCATGAATTTCACATTTGATCCCATTTGATCTGGTCTCATACATTTCTTGGCGTGAGTCTCACCAGGACCAAGCCTCAAAAAAATCTGAAAATGAACCATTTCTGAGAGAAATGGCATGAAAAATAACCAGATTTAATTCAAGAACAGTGAAATGAGAGTAATTTCTCAGAATAAACTGTGAAAGATAATCATTCTTTCAAAATCAGAATGAGACTGAGACTGAAGATCAAATTCAGTCTTATTCAATTCATTCAGTGATTGCTTATATAATCAGAATTTGATAACAATTATTGATAACACTCATGAAATAACTAAATACATTCTTATACAAGTTTATTCTTCACTTTCTTATGAAAACTATACTTCTCTGATATACTGTGATCAGAGGTATTAAACTGTCTGATAATTTCATATTTTATAATCATGAGTTTCTTGATTGTTTCTTCTTATAATTGTCTCTGATAATAGTGATAAATATCTTAGCTTGAGTTGAACTTTCACTTCATTCTTATCTCTGTCAATGAAATTATCAGAATATCACACATTATCAGTATAACAGTTGAATATATACTCTCAACAATTTTTTATAACTCTAGAATTGATTTAACACATAAATTTGTTAAATTATCTTGAAGATAGCAGTTAAATTCAGTTTTACAAGTATATAGTTTTGCCTGATTTTCAGTTACAATTAATGTATGCAAGTTCTGTTTCAAAGTTAGTATTATAGTTCTATGTAATATGAAGTGTTATCAAAGATCATTACTTACTAGAGAATTATATTTCACTGTCTTCACATCTCTAACATCTGCTCATTCAAATCTCTGATAGTTAGTATTATAGTAGTCTCAGACTAATTTGATATATGAGTCTCATTTCTTCTCTGTTCAATCTTGAGAAGTGTAGATGTTAACTTAACAGAAGAGATCTAGTAGAGCTGCTATAGTATAATACTCTGTAAAAGATTGTTCAGTTTTACTGTAGTAATATATCAGTTTATTTCTTACAGTAATAATAGCCTGTACTATAGCATTATTTCAGACTGAATTTCTTTTTAAGTGATTCAACTGCTTCTCAAGATAAGTAAATAAACTGTTATACACTTATCAGACTGACTGCAGCATTGATGTATAAGTAATTGAGACTGTTTTTATTATCTTATAAAACTGAAACAGTAAATCAATCACATATTTTAACTGAGTCTACTTTATATCAGAAAGTTTCAATATCTGAATCTTTTCTTAATGAGAGTATTGCACTCAATGATCAATTATCTGACATAATCAAAGAGTCTGAATAGTTATCTTATATATTGAACTTTACTGTGTTCTAATATTCTGTATCATATTCAGTGATGTGACTGATTTATTTATTTATTGAATATTATGAAATTATTATTATTGTTTAGAGAAGATATAAATCACATTAACAATGTTTTGAATCTGTGATATTTAAATTATTAGTCAATCTATTCAAAATTAACAGTAGCATTATCAAAAAGTGTTATTAAAAAGCAATATTAAAAAGTGTTATCAAAAAACATTATCTTTTACAAAATGAATGTAAAAGTTACTTGAGTAATCACTTTCATCTTATTCTTATTTCAAGAATCAGTCATCTCATTATTCTTCATCTCAATATTAAGATTCTTTATCAGTGTTTGCATCACAAGTTAAATCATATGAGTAATATAGAGAATATGACCTTGTTTATCATTTCAGAAATGCAAAGTCAATTTTTGCTTCAAGCTATTCATTATAGTGTAGTTATTCACAGTATTATCAGTTATAATTATAAGAAGACTAAGACTAATATTTCAATAGTTATTTTTAATCACAGTTATTAATATCTCTGTCATATAATTCTCAGTATGACTACTGATCAATGATTCAAATTCAATTAATATCTCTTAATAAGTTCAGTTCTTATCAATGTACTAACATATAACTCTCATAAATACAAGATTGTTTATACTAGTTTATGTATTCACTGTGAGAGACACTCTTCAATGATTCTTCAACTCTGATTCTAGATATTATATATTAACTTTATAGTGTATTTCAAGGTTGAACTGAAGACAGAATTGATATGAAATATGAAGATTTGAATTAAGCATTTGAAGAAGTGTTCAGAATTCAGAGTTTTCAATTGATTGAAGAGAAAGATTCAGAGATATATATATACAAAGTAATTATTCATGAAAGTTATTAGATGAGAGTTGTGAAATCAGAGTACTGATACATAGTCATTTTCACATAATTTTCTTCAAATTAGAAAGTTAGTATTATTAAAAATTGTTATCTGATAGAGTAACTTATCAGCTCAGTAGTAATTTTCTGATTATTTTTCTTTTATTATCTGCATTCTGATGACTTCAGATGTCAGAAAATTTCTTCAGAGTCATGATCAGTTTATGATGAATGTTTCTGAATGAAGTTACAGTGATTATAGTAGAGAGATGACTCTTCAGTAATCTACAATATAACCTGTTAATAATTATTTCATAGTTTATCTCAGTATTTATATTGAGTTTTTCATAAATTTCATGACCTGAAATCAGATATGAAGAATGAAGTGATTATTTATTATGATTGAAAGAGAGTATTCTGTGTTGAATTATAAATAACATAGACTTTGTAATTCACAGTGATTTCTTGAAGAGTTTATGAATCTTCAATAGAAGTAAAAGAAGTGAAAGAAGTGAATTCAGAAGATATAATAATAATTTAAGAAAAATAATAATTTATTTTCAATAACTGATCACTGATGTGTATAAGAAGAATTAATATAAGAGAAAATAATCTTCTTTCTTAGCTTAGTTATAATTTTAGTACTAACTCAGATTGAATATCATTGATATATAAAAGTAAATAAACAATCTTGATTAATCTCTGTCATATTTCTTGAAATATATTAATATTATGAAAGAGAGCATTATCAAATTGCATTATCAGATGATATTATTAAAAATATATTAATATTGTGAATATTAATGTTGAAAAAATGTTGATACTTATACATTATAGTGATATGATAGTTGAATATATATATATATATTATTCCTGATATTGATAATTGATTATAACTTGTACAATAATTTTTAAAAACTCAAAATTAATTTCAATTATTAACTAATAGTTACAAACTTATAACTAACTAATATAAAAAGAAAAAAACTTTTTCTACTCATTATCTTTCTTCTCTTTCTCATTCTTCTCATTATTCTTTATAATTCACTTCTCATTCTTATTCTCCTTCTTCTTCTTCTCATCTGAGATGATAATTATCTCAAAATCTCTCTCTGCTGCCTTCTCAGAGAAGAGTTTCTGCTGCTTCCTCTCAGCCAGGTCAATCTGTGCCTCAAAATCCGGCATTTTCTGGTCTGCTGCCTCGGGTTTCACTTCAGCAGTAAGCAGATTGATATGCTCAGAGAGCAGAGCTGTCTTCTTAATATTCTGAATCATGAATTGCATTTAAGACCTGAATAAGACCTCAATTCTCTTCTCTGTCAGCTTCTGCTAATCAATTAGAGAACAGAAGTATTATCAAAAATCATTATCTCTTAATAAAAAACTTATCAGTTTTGACTTCTTTATCTTCTGCTTTAATACCTTCTTAATCTTCTTCTATCACTGCTTATTTACAGTAACACTCTTCTTCTCTCTCTCTCTCTTTATCTTGATCTTAAATCATTCTCAGAACTTCTTCTAGTCTTATTACTACTGTATAAGACTCTTCACTGTCTTCTTTTTCAATCTCTCACAGACAGTGTCATCTCCATTATTTCTATGCTTAGTTCAGTCTAAATCTATCAAAAGTGTTACTTAAAATCATTATCATTCTGCTTTCTTACAGAGCCTCTTTAAGGCATTATAACATGTCTTGTGATCTGTCTTCTCATGCTTGAACATCTTCTTCTTCTCTCTCTTCAATCTGTAATAGTACTCACGCGCCTTGATGATCTGCAGGACCGCAGAATATTTGAAGAGAAATGACATGATTGATTTTAATAAGTGTTAAGAGAGAGATGAAGACAGGCAATGATATAATAATAATGATAATAATGATAATGATGATGATGATAATGATGATAATGATAATAATGATGATGATGATGATAATAATGATAATGATGAAAGAGAGAGTGCATCAGAATATATTATTAACTTATTAAATATAAAGAGATAAAGAAACTATTAACAGCTTTCAGAGATGTACAGAAATGACTACAGTGTTATATAGCAACATTATCTTTATTTAATACATGCACTATTGATATTCTTTGTATACATTTATTATATAATCTATATCAGAGATACATGCAGAAAACAGATCTTTATTACTAGAGAGAATGATTACAGTGATTCTCTATTTTCATATTATAAAGATAAGTTATTCTCATTTCTTTCTTCTCTCTTTTCTCTTCTTCTTCAACTCATCACTAAGTTCAAGCTGGTATGAAAACTATTAAAACACTCATAGAAACTCTCAAATTGAAGAGTATAGACTAATTAAATTTTAAATACAGATGAATCAAATTACATTCAATAATACTAATTATTTATTTCTCTCTTAATAAAACAATAGTCATGTCTTTCTTCTCTCTTCTCAAATGAAATATAGCTTGTGAAAAGCAAGTATCACATCAGGCTATAATGATCAACACAGTCTCAGCACACAGAACTGCATATACACAGTGTGTACTTAACTGAAAGACTGTGTGAGTTGTAAACTGATGACAGTATTTCAGAGAGAGCTGTGTGATGTGAGAAAGCTGTAACTCTCAGTCATGTGTGCAGAGAGTGAATCACTGAAGTAAGTGTATATACATTGTATTAAAGTAATACTTTTTAATAACACTCAGTCTCTGATATCATGAAAATAGAGTCTCTCTGTGAGATTCATTTTTATCAGAAGTTGAGAGATCTTATATTTCTCAAGATCATCTTTACATGTCTTGTCTGTGAAATTGATGAAGAGAATTATTGATTTCAGTGTTCTGCTCTTGATGTTATTCAAGTAATAGCAGAGTTTATTCTGATCACACTTTTTAAGTGTATATTTTCTAATTATTTACATTTAGACAGATATATACTGATTATTTATTAGATGATATTAAGACAATAGCTCATCACAGTCATGTTACTCTCACTGTGAGAAATACACAGTTAATAATGAACATTATAAAGACTCTGAGAAGTGAGTATTTTAAGAGTGCTGCAGCTCTACAATCTTGATTTTTTTTATTTTTATTTTTTATTTTTTTCTTTTTCTTTTCTTTTTTTTTTCTTTCTCTTTTTTTTTTATTGTGATTTTTTCTTATGTTTATTTTGTTTTTTATTTTTTATTTTTTTTTGTATTTTATATTTTTTTTATAATTAAAATTATATGAATTATGATCTGTATTCAGAAAAGTAATAATATTTGATAATACTCTCTATTGAATTTTCAACAAATGAGTTCTATGTTATAATATTATGTAAGTAAGAAATGATTTCATAATCTCATTTAATGTTATTCTCAATAATGAGATCAGAATGAAAATGTAACTAAGAATTCAAACATATTCTTTATCTGAGACTAGATTTTTATTTGAAAAGTGAATCTGAAATCTTTAATATTTAAAATAATGTGATTTGAGATCAATGTAATGAACACAAATTATGATCAGAAGTAATGCTTTTAGGCAACATGACAACTGTAAAGTTTGATTCTGGTTTCAGACACGGTCACACGGTCAGTCTACTTATGAGTGTAAAGGGGCCATAGCGGCCACTAATTAATTTAGTGTATAATATATAAAGAAGCCGGCATACGCCTGTAATTGTACACTGAGTTAAGTAATCTTTGAATCACACTTCTGAAGTTCTACAAGAATGCCACATCTCAGTCAGAGAAGATAGAAGATTATTGAAAGAAGTTCATATAATGCAAGATTACTGATCTGAAGAGACATAATACATGAAGTTTGATTCTCAGATCTGATGTTCTGAGTGATGAACTGATTGCTTCAGATTATTAAGTATTTCTTGAGAAAAATAAACCTGTGAACCTGAATGCTGATTCTGATGATATTCTTAGAAAATCATGTTGAGTGATTTATAATAACTGAGTTAAGAAGAAATCTAGAAAAGAGATCTATACTTCTGTCATCACTGATACTGTTAATTTTATTCTTTTTACAATAGCAGCACTTCACAGTTAAACACTCTGTTAAGTGAATATAGTGATGACATATCTGCATGAGTGTCTCACTAAGAAGATCTATATAAGATAATTCACTGATTTTGAGACAGGTTTGCTGAAAGCACTTGTCTGCACAGTTGAAAGTAGTTTATATAACCTGAACTCTGCAGCAAAGATCTGGTATAATTACTTAATAACTCTGTTAAGTGATCTTGAATTTACAGTCAGTATCTATGATTCAGCACTCTGATATCATACATTCAGATATCATCTCTATATAATAATCTATGTTGACAATCTTAACATTATATCTGAAGTTTCTGAGAATGCTGATTGACTAGTAAGTATACTCAGTGAGAAATTGAAAGTTAAGAATCTATATCAGTTAATCAAGTATTTGAGTATGAAAGTCAATTATTCAGACAAAGAAATTGATTTGATATATTATCAATATATCAAATATCTTATTGAAGATTTCTATCTTAATAATACAGCTGTTGTCAGAACATCAATAAAGAATGAATTCTGTATTAATGATTCTCTCATATCTGAGAAAGAGACTGATTTCACAATTCAGTAATATTAATATGATGTGAATTGCTTGTAATATCTTGCAGTTAAAACACATTCTGATATCACTCACACTGTCTTACTACTCACTCAATGAAATGTTGATCTAACATCTCAATGTTGAAAGGCTCTATTACATATTATACATTATTTGAAAGAGATCATGAATCTGAACATTTTCTACAGACACAGTCTGTATAAGAGGTCTGTTTCTATAATTTCTATCAATTTCTCTGTTGTTTCTGATTTTCTCAATGATTTCTACCTACTCTTCAGCTACTCAGATTCTGATTGAGCTGGCTTCTTGAATGGTGATAGAAAATCAACATTCAGCTATGTTTTTAAGCTTGTAAACAGTCTGATTTCATGATATTCAGTGAAGCAATCTTGTATATCTCTAAGTTTCAATAAGACTGAATATATAGCTCTTAGTAAGATAGTCTGTGAGAAAACATGAATCTGAAATCTCATAATTGAGCTTGACTTCATTACTACATCTCTGATACAGATTCTCACTGATAATAAGAGTGTCATAGATCTTACAAAGATAGCAGTCATTACAGCCTGAAGTAAGCACATTGACACATGTTTTCATTTTTCATGTTGACAGTTGAATCAGAGAATTATTGATTTAGAATACATTCTCACTGCTCAGATAATAGCAGATGAATTCACTAAATCTCTAAATACTGTGATATTTATATGATTCATAATTTTACTAGGTCTTACAGATGTAAAAGTTGAGAATGTTTAATTTTACATTTGTATTTAATTTTAACAGACTATCTTGATGATTTGAGTGTTTTTGTATATGATTCTTATTATCTTGAGAGAGAGTGTTGACTGTTACAGCTGTTGCAGTTAGTGATCTTACTAGATCACATGACTCATCACTATATTATGTTCTTGTAAATAGATCTATCAATACAATCTTCAACTATTCTACAGATTTAGTAATTGCTTATATAATCAGAATTTGATAATGATTATTAATAATGCTTATGAAATAACTAAATACATTCTTATACAAGTTTATTCTTTACTTTCTTATAAAAACTACACTTCTTTGATATACTGTGATCAGAGATATTAAACTGTCTGATAATTCTATATTTTATAATCATGAGTTTCTTGATTATTTCTTCTTATAATTGTCTCTGATAATAGTGATAAATATCTTGACTTGAGTTGAACTTTTACTTCATTTTCATCTCTATTAATAAAATTATCAGAATATCACATATTATCAGTGTAATAGTTGAATATATACTCTTAACAATTTTTTATAACTCTAGAATTGATTTAATACATAAATTCATCAGATTATCTTGAAGATAGTAATCAAATTCAGTTTTATAAGTATATAGTTTTATCTGATTTTCAGTTATAATCAATGTATGTAAGTTCTGTTTCAAAGTTAGTATTATAGTTCTATATAATAGAAAGTATTATCAAAGATCATTAGTTACTAGAAAATTGTATTTCACTGTCTTTATATCTCTAACATCTGCTCATTTAAATCTCTAATAGTTGATATAGTAGTAGTCTTAGACTAATTTAATATATAACTCTCATTTCTTCTCTATTCAATCTTGAGAAGTGTAGATATTAACTCAACAGAAGAAATCTAGTAGATCTGCTATAGTATAGTACTCTGTAAAAGATTGTTTAGTTTTACTATAATAATATACCAGTTTATTTCTTACAGTAATAATAGCCTGTGCTATAGTATTATCTCAGATTGAATTTCTTTTTAAGTGATTTAACTGATTCTTAAAATAAGTAAATAAACTGTTATATACTTATCAGACTGACTGCAGTATTAATGTATAAATAATTGAGACTGTCTTCATTATCTTATAAACCTAAAACAGTAAATTAATCATATATTTCAACTGAGTTCACTTCATATCAGTAAGTTTTAATATCTAAATCTTTTTCTGATCAGAGTGTTATACTTAATGATTAATTATCTGATATAATTGAAGAGTCTGAACAGCTATTTTATATATTAAACTTTACTGTATTCTAATATTCTATATCATATTTAGTAATGTGACTGATTTATTTATTTATTGAATATCATGAAATTATTATTATTATTTAGAAGAGATACAAATCACATTAATAATATTTTAAATCTATGATAATTAAATTATTAGTCAATCTATTCAAAATTAATAGAAGTATTATTAAAAAGCATTATTAAAAAGTAATATTAAAAAGTATTATAAAAAAATAT